AAAGAGCCGGGCGATGGTGGCGCACGCCTTTAATCCCAGCACTCGGGAGGCAGAGGCAGGCGGATCTCTGTGAGTTAGAGACCAGCCTGGTCTACAGAGCGAGTGCCAGGACAGGCTCCAAAGCCACAGAGAAACCCTGTCTCGAAAAACCAAAAAAATAAATTAAAAAAAAATAATAATAAAAAAAGAAAGTTCCTGGCTTGTGTAGCCAACAAGGTTCCAGGGAGTGGTAGGCTAGGTTGAGCAGTATTTCATACTAAGTCATAGCTTAGAGACTCTATAAACACATTTAATTTAGTTTAGTTTTTATTTCTAAGATAGGGTCTCACTGTGTAGAGCAGCCTGGCTTATAAGATCCACCCACTCCTCAGATGCCCAAGGAACTAACTGGGGACATCTCCCTGGACACCTGGGGAAGCAGGTGGATCTCTGTGATTCTGAGGCCAGCCTGGTCTACAAAGTGAGTTTTTAGAGAAGTAGTGTTAGGTTTTACCCTCTGTCTCTATACTATCTTGTCTTTGGTTTTTGGTCACACAGGTCAGGGTGGGTATAAGTTCTCTGTCTTGTGGAGTGGGCTTTAAGTCAAACAAGACATTGATTGGTTTCTCCTATATATTCTGTGCCGCTATTGCCCTAGCATATCTTGCAGGCATTCAGATTGTAAGTTAAAGGTATGTGACTGGGTTGGTGTTTGTTTCTCCTGTGCTAGCCTGCCGAATACCTCCCAATAACAACGACAGTAAAATGGGGGTGAAGGTTCTAAATAAGCACTAGATCAACTTCTCCATGTTTGTTGAGTTGTCCTCACTGACTTGTGGGTATTGTCCTCAGTAATGTGGCCCAGCTGTCCACAGTAATGTGTATGAGGAGAGCAATCTATTGTCTTAGCAACAGCCTGGATTGTTTGGGAATTTCCGTGAGACTTCTTTGGTTAACAACTCAACTAGATGCAACCTAGTCCCACTACCAGAAGCCTCATTTGGTGACAAGAGGTGGCTAGTTGAGACTCCATAGCCCCTATTATTAGGAGATATCTTTAGGATCACCTTCATAATTTTATGAAGTTTCCACTGTGCTAAGTTTTCAGATCATCCCTAAACGCCCCTCAATTCCAGCTGTTTCTCCCCAAATTCTTTCCCTCAACCCTATCTCCCTTAACCTTCTCCACCTGATCCTCTGGTTCCTGTTGCTCCTGCACCCTCAGTTCACCCCCGAAAAAATCTATTTTATTTCCTCTCCGAGGGAGATCTATGTGTCCTCTAGACCCTTCCTATATATCTAACCTTTCTGGGTCTATGGGTTGTGGCTTGGCTATCATTTATTCAATGGATAATATACGAGTGAATACATACCATATTTGTCTTTCTGCATCTGGGTTACCTCATTCAGGATGATTTTTTCTAGATCCATTCATTTACCTCCAAATTTCATGATGTCATTTTTTAACAGCTCGTTAATACTCTATTGTGTAAATGTAACACATTTACTTTACCCAATCCTCAACTGAGGGACAGCTAGGCTGCTTCCAGTTTCTGGCTATTATGAATAGAGCAGCAATGAACATGGTTGAACAAGTGTACTTGTAGCAGAATGGAACATCCTTTGGGCACATGCGCAAATAACTGGACATTGAAGTAGATTGCTAAGGAACTGATTGGTCACTCAGAGATAAAATGATAAGTTTGTGATGGTTGAGACTTTACATATTTTGCTTTTTTTTTTTTTTTTTTTGCAAATAACTGGACATTGAAGTAGATTGCTAAGGAACTGATTGGTCACTCAGAGATAAAATGATAAGTTTGTGATGGTTGAGACTTTACATATTTTGCTTTTTTTTTTTTTTTTTGCTGTTTTGTTTTTGAGGCTGGGTCCATGTGGTCCAAGCTAATCTTGAACCCTTGTGCCTCCACCCACCAAGTACTGCATGGACTGAGATTAGACACATAGCCCACCATAACCAGCTGGAAATTCATTTTTAAAAATCTTCCCTGTGGCAGGTATTTTTTTTTTAAAGAAATTCTAGGTCTGTGTTTTAAAATTCCAATTCTTTTAGGAACATAGCTTTGGAGCAGCTTTGATTTCAACCATGGCTAATATGATGTTGTGACTATCCTGTTGCCCCCGCAGTGAAGATGATTGTAGCTAGAAGCTCAGGAGGTGTGACCCTGATGCCTAACAGACCTGAGTAGCATGTCGCTCGGTTTGTCTGTGTGTCGGGTTGAACCTGAGACTGCAGGCCAGGCAAGAGCTCCCCTACGGAGCTGTGTCCTTGGTCTCTGGAGCCTTCTCTAGATCTGGGTAGAAGTGGTACTGCTGCCCCCCCTGGGAGTGCTCACCGGACAGCTTACTCTTGTCACTTGTCCATGCACACTCACACCCGCTTGAGTCTTCTGGAATTTTAGAGCAATCTTATTTCCTCTGATGACAGTGATGCCCTGTTCCCAACTACCACTCAGCCACAGCCTGACTAACTAATTCCATTCTGGGGAGGCATAAGTCATGTAGATAGATAATTCATGCTTTACCCTTTCCCATTCCCAGAGAAGCATATTTACTTTTTGTTTATGGGTTGTACATTTTTACCAATGAAAACTTTTCAACTCAAATATCCACAATGTACGTCTATTTACTTATAATTTATATCCATGTATTAGCATAATACTTTACCTATATTTTGATACAATATAATAAAAGAGAGATGTAAAGGGGATACAAACATGAGTAAAAATCGAATTTTTGTACCTTTTTCTCCCACCCCAGTGATAAATCTGCTATCTGATAAATAGCCCACTGGCTGATGGAAAGACAGCTTGCTTCTAGAAGGTTAGATGGAAGCAAGATTATCCAGTGTTAGGTCACTACTTGTCTCTGGTCCCAATTCAACACGTTGGATCATTCCCTCTGATAAATCTTGTCCAAGTAATAATAGCTTTGGTTTTAAAGACAGTGACAATTCTGTGATTGATGATTTAAAAGGCTTTATTTCTGACAGCACCAACTTTGGTGATCATGCTAAAGACTCTACTTTCCCTAAGAAGAAGAGACTGCCCGTTGCACTGAGGCATGAGGGGATGGCATGCAGCTGCAGTGTGGGAGGCGGCGTCACATGCTGCCGCCCCACAGACCAGCCATCCCCAGCACAGCCACCTGCTGGAGGCTAAACCTTGTGATAGTAACACGTACTGCAGTGGCATTCCGTGTGGTTCTCCACTCGAGCGTATCCCAAGACTGTGGTCTGCAAAGGGAGAGGAACAGGGAGGTAGGGAGTTAGACAGAACGGCAAAGTGTGAAATAAGGCAGTAGCCGGAATGATTTCATCGCTGTTTGGTATGTTTACATTCTCACTCTCTGGGGATATAGTCATTCTAACAGTTAAATTCACATCACAAAATAAGCCACGCTCCTTCAACCCGCTTTTGTTTAGCTCTGTTCTCTCTCTCTCTCTCTCTCTCTCTCTCTCTCTCTCTCTCTCTCTCTCTCTCTCCATTTTAAGAATCTTTATTTCAGCATTTCTTAGGCAAACACTCAGCCATTGATCTATATCCCCACCCCTAAAAAATACCTACTTACTTGCTATTCCCTGCCCCCCGCCCCATTTCTTAAGAGTCAAACCTCAGAGTTTCACACATCTCGCATATGTCCCCCAGGTCGCTGGGTTTTGGTGTTTTGGTTTGTTTATTCATTTCTACTCTTGCTGGCGATGTTTTGCGACATCATCATATTATGCTAACCTAGCTAACCTAGAATTCACTGTGAAGACCAAGTGGGCCTTTTCTCTCCCGCTTATACAGTATATGTGTGTTTTGGGGGGTGCTATCGGGACAATTTAAGGGAGTCTGGTCTCTCCTCCCATCACCTGTGTCCTGGGCACCCAACTTGGAGCATTGTTCTTGTCTACAAATGCTTTTACACACTGATCCATCTCGCCAGTTCGGGCCAGGTAGGCTTAGAACCCTTAGGGTCTTCTCGCCCCTAGTTCCTGAAGGATGAGATCACAGGAATGCACCATTGCACCCACATGCTTTGCTATTCTCTTTTTAGAATATATTAATCGCACATGCATACGGAGTATAGTTTGGTAATATGATGCTGACGCCCAAACTATGATGATCAAACCCGGGTGGCAGTGTTTTCATTCCTCTCGCCTACTGTACCGTTCCTCTGTGCTAGCCAACTTTAGGAGCCTTCTCTTCTAGTTCTCTACATAATAAACTGTGGTAAGCTGTCAACACCTAGCTGCTCTGAAGAAGCCGAGAACTGCTCTGCCTGGTATGTTTTGTTTTCGCTGTCTAACCTTCCACCATGCACCTCCCATTGGTTATTTTTTTAGACTGAGGCCACTACTGTTCTCTCTACGTCTGTGTCATCAAGACTTTCCATTTAGCTTATTCTTCTAATTAAAAAGGAAAGATATGATGTTGCCTGTACCAGGGAGCAATAATTACCAGTCGCTGGACAACGTAGACATTAAGCCCTGTGAGTACAAACTATCTCTGGATGGGGCTGTTAGGAAGCGCTCACCTTAGTAAATGATTTGGCCACACAGCATGTGGCCTCCGAGGTGATATTCTTTGGAACCAGCATTGTCTTCTTGGACCTGGCTGGAGTGGGGTATGCCCTGGAGAAGCAGCAGCCCATGCACTGATAGACTGGACTGCCCGTCCTGGAGAAGTATTTATTTTCCTTCAGTTTACATTCTGGGCAACCTAGCCAGCAAAAGAGAGGAGGAGATTACTGAGAAAGGCTTCAAAGATAACTCACTCTCTCCCGAGTATGACAGGACAAACACTTTTTGCATTGGCAATAAAAAAGGAAATAAGTATTTTTATCTGCATATTAATCTTCACACATGATATCTTCATAATCACTATAGCTCCATTCACAGAGAAATCATTTTTGCGGACTTGCATAGGGAATTTGCCATGGTGGTTTCTCATCCTCCAAGCAGAGACTCTCCCAATGCTAATTGCGTGCTTAGAGAGCTCACAGAAGCTTGACAGAAATTCCACGTTCATTTGGGAGGAAAATGGTTCTGGAGGCAAGTCTGCTATTGTTGTTCCCCATAGAAACTCCAAATGTTGACAGAAAAAAAAATTACCGAATTAGGAAAGCTTGGTGAGGTAAGACAGCCTGATAATACGAAAGACATCTGTGCTTAGAATTTGAGATTCAAATATTACTATTGAGCAAAGAGAAAAACCATAACAGATAATAGTTCACCATTCTCGAGCTGGTGGGATTCTGTCAGGTTCTGTACTAGATGTGGCAGATAACAGAGGAAAACAGATTTAACGCACAAAAGTGATTTCTTTTTCCCTCGCTTGTTAACTGATATGAAAATTCATCTGTGAAAGTGATGCTAACATTTTCAGAAATCTGGAAGAAACAGGAAAAACAGCTGATCTGAGTAAGGATGACTTTTCTCCTCGTCAGACTCAGATATGGAACAACAAGGAAGGTACTTCAGATGGACATGTTTAGGATGCTATGAAAATGAATGTGGAATAAAACATTTTCATTGTACATTTTCTGAACTGAATTTAATTTTGGGTTCACAGTCTACAAGTGCCTAGATAAACACCCAGGACTGACTATCACACATGAAAACAGGTAGAAATTAATTGATTATTGATGTGCATCTAAAAAATACATGTTTCCCTTTTTATTACAAGCCTGAGTTTGGTCACATACCCTGAATAATCAAGTCTCCATCAGGAAGAGAATGAAGAATATGCAGGAACATGGACAACATGACCAGAAAGACAGCTGCGTATTTTCTGTAGTAATCCATCGTTCTCCTGCAGACCACACGTGAGAGAAAACACAGAAACACAACAGTCTAATCTTAGCTTGCCAGTCATAACACAAAGCCAGTAGTGTTCATGTGATTCTTTTAACTGCTGGTGCTGGCTTTGGGCACGCTAAAGTCACTGCTCTACTACTGAGCTGTGTCCCTTGCACTAACAACCAGCACGTTTAACATTATTGTTCAAAACAGCCACTATGTCTTATCCCCTCTGCTTTCAGCTTCCAACATACCCTAAATCCAGGCAAATGAAAACACCACACCGCTTAAGGAAAGAGATAGGACACTGTGTCTCCCTATTCCTTATGCAATTAGCACCTAACAACACTAGCCCTCTTCTCCCCCCTCCCGCCTCCAGCCATGAATTTACAGCAATTCTACAGCCTCCCCAGTGCAATTAGAGGAGTAGATAGGGGTGACAGATATGTAAATTAAAACAAAATCAGCAGAACAGTTATAATGAAAGAAATGTCAAATATTAGACTGGATGCATGAAACTGGATAATAGAGACATTGCCAGTGGAAATATAAGAGGGTATAGGCACTCTGCTAAACAGCCTGGGAGCTTTTCTTATTATTCAGTTGGGGTTTGAGGGGAAGGCTGTTTGCTTGCTTTATTTATTCATTTAAGTAGCTAGGGTTTCAGGTAACCCAGACTGTCTTAAATGCCTTTTATAACTGAGGATGACCTTGAACTCCTGATTCTACCGCCTCATCTCCCAGGCACTAAAATTACTGCTGTGTGCTAACTCACACAGTTTTACAGCCATTATCCATAGATATATGAATTCATATTTATATAAACATATATAATGAACATATTATAGAAATATATACCTAGAACAGGTAACCACTGTTCGAAGTCCGTGATTCTTGAAGTGGAAAGGTCCTAGAAGCATCAGTGGGTCTGTGAGGACAATTAGCAATAATACTAAAATGTTCTTTGCATTTTTCAGTGTAGACCCACGATGTGGCCGTGAGACAGGGCGAATAAAGGGGCTACATCAAACCAGCTGGGTCCTCCTAGGCCAGACATCAAGGAGATTTAAAAACGATCAAACAATGCCATTCTTCTCACCAACATTTTCTGTCAAGGAAATTGTCACCTGCTTCCTGGCGGCCTGTAACCATAATCCCAGCACTCTGAAGGCTAAGGCCTGGGGATCCTTGTGCTTCTACACCAGCCTGTACTACAGAGTGAGACTCCGTGTCCCCAGACAGTAAACAAAAACAAAAACAAACAAAAAAAAAAAAAAAACAAGAAAACCATCATGTCATCATATGGTAACTTTTCCTTTTCAGGTTTTTGTTGTTGTTGTTGTTGTTGTTTATTTTTGTTTTGACACAGGATCTTGCTTTATGGCCTAGGTCTCGCTATATAGCCTAAGACATTCACAAATCTTCAGCAATCCTCCTGCCTCAGCCTCTCAGGTGCTGGGATTGCAGGCATGGTACTGCCATGCCCAGCTTGTTGCTGCTCTTTAAATGAACTCTCATGAAACCCATGTGTTTAATCATAGTACTCAGGAGGCAGCTGCAGGTAGATCTCTACGAGGCCAGCCTGGTCTACAGAGCGAGTTCCAGGACAGCCAGGACTACACAGAAAGACCTTATCTTGAAAAGCAAAAAATCTTTTTTTTTTAATCACATTTTTATTTATTTGTGTGTGTTCAGAAAGGCAAGCCACAGGATGTAAGTGGAGGTCAGAGGACAATTTATCTGAGCTGGTTCTCTTCGGCATGTCCTGTGAATCGGACTCAAGCTGCCAGGCTTCACAGCAGTGGTTTTATCTGCTGAGACACCTTGCCAACCTCTCAAAATGTTCTGACGCAATTTTAAAGCCAAAAGGGAGGAAAGTCTTGACTATTTAGCCCAGGCTGGTTTATAAATTGATGCACCTCCTGTCTCAGGCCCTCAATGTTGGGGTTATAGGATTGAGCCACCATGCCCAACTTCAAATTTTAATACTCCAAACAGATCCCATTATTAAAATTAGGCTGAGAAGCACTGCTGTAAGTGACCCAAAGTGATAATTTTAGAATTATACTTGGTTTCTTTAATGAACTATCATTTTGTGCTTTGATATTTCTGCTATTTATATTTATATTATGAAAATTCAACCGTTATGTAGTGAGCAACTCTATCAGAATTAATCCAAAGATAAAGCATTTGTAGCAAGACTGTAGAATCTGGAAACTTAATGCATATTAAACTTGGTTTATAAAGATGTGAAAAGAAGTCTGAAAAGTAAAATCATTATTAATTTAGCTTACAATAACAGAAACTCTTATCTTCCTCTTGTTTTACCTTTTTTCTTTTTAGATGTAAGGGTGTTTTACCTGTGCACAAATGTCCATGCATGTGTGTGTGTGTGTGTGTGTGTGTGTGTGTGTGTGTGTGCCTGGTACCAGTGGAGGCCAGTAGAGGGCATCTGATGCCCTGAAACTGGAATTCCAGATGGCTTTGAGCTACCTTGTGAATGTTTTTCATTCATTCATTACAAGACAGGATCTCACTCTGTAGCTTTGGCTATCCCGGAATTTACTAGGTAGACCAGGCTAGCCTCAGACTCAGAGATCTACCTGCCTCTGCCTCCCTAGTTCTGGGATTAAAGGCACGTGGAACTACAACCAGTTCTTTTACTTGTAAAGGAGACAATCAAGACAAAAGAGATTAGCATGGAAAATACGTGTGTTCTTCAAAGGATTTAAAATTTCTCAGACATTCTAGCCATCTTCAGATTATTCTGGAAGGGAAAGGTTGTTTCGTGATGAGCTTTTTTAAAAAATACCAGAATACAATAAATCATTTAAATTAGTAATTAATGGTATAGTTATTAATATTAATAATATCATAAATTGATAGTTCTTAGGAGATTTTATGCAAGGCATCTTGATTATATTCATCTCCCTACTTCTGCTCCGAAATCCTCCCAGGCCCACCCACTCCCCTTTATATCATCTTCTTGTTACTCTTAAAGAAACTACCTCACAGCAGACATTCTGGTCCTCTGTCTCTTACAGTCTTTCCACTCCATCTTCCATGATGTTCTGTGTCTTAAATGGAGGGGCTGTGCTAGAAATGTAATAATTGGGGGCAGGTACCCCAAGATCAACTAATCGCCACATTTTTGACCAGCTGTGGCTTTGTGTGATGATTTCCACCTGATGAAAAAAAGATGGTTCTTTGTTGAAAAGTGGGAACTAGACTTACCTGTCTCTAAGGACACATATTTGCCACTAAGTTAGGAATTATACTAGTTTAAGAAACTGGCAGTCATAAGTCTGCTCTAAGTTCTGCAGCCTCATTAGTCAGAGGGAGCTGGTGTAGCGTGAATAATAAAAACCCAGAGACAGATACTGGTGTTCAACCTGAAAATCAGGAAAGCAAAGCAGCTAGCCACTGGCTCTTACCTCTGCTTCAGATTGAAAATGGGCAAGATCCTGTCTCCAAGAATACTGAAGACTCCACACTCCACTGAGTTCCTGTCTCTTCCCCTTATATTCCTCTCTCCACCCAGCCATAACGCTCCTGACTCCACCTCCCGAGTGCTGGGATTAAAGGTGTGTGATCCCAAGTGCTGGGATCACCTTGTGTGGGCTCTGTTTCTCTTTTAGAAAGATTCAATCTTGTGTAGCCCAGGGTGGCTTTGATCCATCTGCCTTTGTCTCCTGAGTCCTGGGATTAAAGGTGTGTGCCATCATTCCCTGGCCTCTATGGCTGACTAGTATGGCTGCTTTGCTCTCTGATCTTCAGGCAAGCTTTATTTATTTAATAAAACACAAACAATATACCACTATAAGTTGGCGAAACTTACAGTGCCTGGCATGAGTGATCATCTATTGGGCAGACCTTAATTCCAATCAGGTGACTGTTGATTACACGGAGGATATAAATGCCCCTGTTGTCCCTTTCAGAGATTATCTTGTTGTACTGATAAGTGCTGTGTTTTGCTGCTGCTACAGCTGGATAAGACTGTTGATTGTTTTTCTCTGTTGGTAGCATGCTTGGCTCCTTCAGAAGCCATGAGAGCCTGTCCTCAGAGAAGAGCCTTCTACGTCAGACCCAAGTTGATTTCTCCAAATCCATTTCCTGAAACATGTAGTGTCTTCAGCAATAGAATTTTTACCTTCTTTTTGTAGCAGGCACTAAGGGAAACAGCAATAGCCTATAAATACCTCTTTGGAGGTGTCTCTTGGACTCCCCTGACCAATAACTCAAGTTTTCTCATGCTGGGTACTTGGGTTTTTGTTAGTCTGCAGTTTGAGGAAGAGCATTGTCACCCCAACTGACATAACGATAGATGATAGATAGATAGATAGATAGATAGATAGATAGATAGATGATAGATAGATAATAGATAGATGATAGATAGATAGATAGATAGATAGATGCATGCATACATAGATGAGTATATAGACATATATAGCCTATATGCAATTTTAACTACCAATAAAATAGTATTTCCTATAGCTTTCCCAAACAGCCTTAGTGCTATTATCCCTCATCCTTTTCAATTCCATTGTATTGCCCTCGTCTTCTTGCTCCCCGGGTAAGATTCCATCATGCATCTTTCCCATTTCCCCTTCATAGCCACCATGTCCTGTTGCTCTCGTGAGTGTTCCTGTTATTCCCTGTGTTCTCCTATGGTCCCTTTTTACTTTCCTGTTATTACAATTACTCCTGGTTATATACTAGTATCTGAAAACCCAAAGCTAGCATTGGCAGCTAAGAGAATGCATGTGTCATTTGTCTTTCTGGGTCTATGCTGTGTCTCACTCAATATAATTATTTTCTAGTTCTATTTACCTGAAAATTTCATTTATCTTTACAACTGAATAGGATTCCATGGTGTATATGCTTCATGTTTTCATTATCTATTCATCGGCTGAAGAACATTTAGGTTGTTCCAACTTCTTAACTATTATATAAAGTAGCAATGAAAATAGCTGAGCGCATCATCTATGGAGCAGGATACTGAGTTCTTTGGGCATATGCAAAGGAGTAGTATAGGTTGGGCATAAGGTGTATTTATTTTTAATTTTCTAAGACTTCACCGCACTGATTTCCATGACGGCTGTGTCAGTTTGCCATCCCACCAAGAATGAATATTAATTTCCCATTTCCCTACATCCATGCCAGCATTTCTAGTCTTGATCTTAGCCCTTCTGCCTGGGATAAGACAACATTTCAAGTCGGGTGGTGATGGCACAAGCCTTTAATTTTAGCACTTGTGGACAGAGACAGATGGATCTCTGTGAGTTCGAGGCCAGCCTGGGCTACAGTGTGGGTTCCAGGACAGCCATAACT